CTCCAACCCTGCACTCCCAGTCCCCATCTGTTGCTGTTGGAAGTGCATAAAAGGCTTTTAATTTACAGACAAAAGGTGGGAAAGTGGAATTTGGGGGCTTTAGCCTCTGCAGAGGATCAGCCCTGGTGGTGTGGGGCTGTTCTGACCCCAGAATAAAAGCACTTTGGGTGTTGTTTGAGGGGTTTGTGGGGGATTTTTTCTGTGTTTTTTTAACATGTTGCTGTTTTGGATGCAAAAACTCTACCTATGCAGTGGTGCTGCAGGATCTGGCAGGAGGGAATTGCGTCTTCAGGAGGGTTTGGAGGACACTGGATTGTTTTCTTGTTCTCCCTTTCCTGCCTGGAAGAGGAAACGAGCTTTAATTATGGCCAAGCTGCCTGTTGTCGGGGTTTAATGATGGGTCTGCAAGCGACAGAGAGAGTTTGGTCCTTGCACTGGGCTGTGTCACCTCCCTGAATCCCGTCATTAAGGCTGGAATCTGGCCAGTACATCCCAGGATAACTGGAATAAGTAATTATCTGGTGTGGTTCCTGGTAGAGGAGCGTGTTGGGTGTCTTGGGGACGGGAATTGGGCTGAAATAAGTGATGTGTGGGTGTCTCTGCCCCCTCCCAAAACTGCTGAAGTTCTGGTTCATCTCCTGTAACAACAGGGCAAAAAGAAGGAAAACTTTTCACCCAGCTCAGGACGTCCCTTGGGAGCTGAGGGAATGGGGTTGTGGCTCCATCCCTGCCCAGAGGAGCCCCAGTGCTCCCACAATCCCCCTTCCCTTCCTCCCCGTCCCATTTGCCCAGGGAATAAAAAAAAAGCACAAACTGAGAGAATTTGTAACTCTGAAAGGAGAAAAAAAAAAAAACAAACCTCTAGGGATTATTCATAATGATTTTTTTTCCCCTTTTAAATGATGAATTGCAAGACAAGTGTCCCTGCAGGGCCGAGAGCCTGGATGCATCCCCTGGCTGCCCCAGAGCGAGGAGGGTGGGAGATCTCACCCCTATCCTCCCCAGGAAAAGCCAAATCCACTCATTGCCATCTGCATTATTAATGCAATTCCAAAATCGACCTAAACCTGCAGACAAAGGAACCAGCGTCATCACAATTAATCACACGTGTAAAAATAAAGCCTGATACATCAGGGCTCATTATTCGGTGGATTAAGTAAAGGGAAAAAAGGGGGAAAGGACGTTTTCTGCAGCAGAAAACGTGATTTTGGGCTGAAGAAGTCCCTGGGAATAGCTGGGAGGTGAGTGGCAGCTCCCGTGTGCTGGCACAGGTCGCTGCATTATTCAGCTGCTGGTTTAACTGGGCTGTGAAATCGCTGGAGTCGGTGCCTGGCTCCGATTTCCCAGGGAGCTGGGAGATGGAGAGGGGTCCTGGAGTGGTGCTCCACCACCCCGGGGCTGGAATTCTGGATTTCACACGCCCACCCTGTGCTCTTTATGGTTCCCCCTTCCCTGGGAACTCACAAACGACAGGGCAGAAGTGAGAAATACCTTAAAATGCAAAGTCTCATTAAGCCCAAGAGGAGTTTCAGGCTCCAACACCCGTTTCTGTTGCTTTTTCACTAAATCCTCATTTGCATTTAAATTGCAAAAAATGTAATTTGGGCCAGATTTTGAGCTGCTGGGGTGTTAAAATAAAATTGTATCTTGATGACCAGCAGCAACAGAGGCTTTTTATTACTCAAGGCTTGGAAATAACTTCAGCTAAAGGGCCTCAGGGGTTCACAAAGGTGATTTTTTTCCAAGTCCGTGCGAGCTTTTGGAACTTGAATTTAGAATCATAGAATGGTTTGGGATGGAAGGGACCTTAAAGCTCATCTCATTCCACCCCTGCCATGGGCAGGGACACCTTCCACTGTCCCAGGTAACTCCAAGCCCTGTCCAACCTGGCCTTGGACACTTCCAGGGACGGGGCAGCCACAGCTTCTCTGGAAAACCCATTCCAGGGCCTCACCACCCTCACGGGGAGGAGTAAAGAGTAAATTTAGAGGGTGTTTCCTCTCCCATCACTCCCCAAAACACCCCCCTGAGCCAGACCCTGCTCATTTTCAATGCCCGAGAGTCGCGGGAGAGCTGGAAACTGCTTCCTATCTCCGATTTTGTTTTGCTTTATTATTTTGTTTTTTAGAAAGCAGGGTTCCTTTACAGAAATGCCACTGAAAAGGCCCGAAATCCCGAGGGCTGGAGCTGGAAATAGTGGCTGAAGCACTTTGTGAGGTGCTGTGGACCCGGCGGACTCAGCTCCATCACACACGGGGCAGCTGCTGTAGCAGGGGGGTGGGGTGGGGGGGCCTCGGGGTCACTTTGACTTCATACACCTATGGACACATATACATACAGATATATTTATATAAGTACACACAGAGCTCCCTCCGAGCATCCCAGTGGCGTTTCCCTGGGCCAGGATTCATCCTCAGTTTCCCGGCCCGACCGAGGGGCTGGAGCAGCTGCGTTTTTGGGAGGGGGAGAAGCTGGATCAGCCCCCAGATCCCTGCTGGGCTGCTGCCAGGTCGGGATGCTCAAGATCCACGTGTCACCCCATGTGCTCCAGTGCGGCCATGTCCCGTTTTTCCCGGGAATATTCTGTCTTTCTTTCAGTCAGCAAACCCGGAGCTCGGGAAAACCGCGTTCCTCGCTGTGTCCTGGGCTCAGAGCTCTGCCCAAGCACGGCGGCATTTTAAAAAATAATGACTTGGAGCCTCTTAACCCGCTTTAAGGCCACGGCAGGCACGTTTCCCAGCAGGCTGGGAATTCGGCAGATGGAAAAAAGGCCCCGTGGGGACAGGAAATGGGGGGGCTGAACTGCCTTTGGAGCCTCAGGGCAGCCCACGGGCCCCAGCACTCGTGGGGGGCTCCCTCATCCCCCCAACACGATGACATGTCCTCGGAGGGGCTGCACCAGGACAGAGATGCCTCATCCCTGATGGCAGGATTCACCTTCCCTGTGTCCCTGTTCCTTCCCTGTGGTGGGAAAAGCTGCTCTCCCTTGTGCCATTCCCAGCCTCGATCACGGGGTTGGATTTTAGGGAGCGCTGAGGCACTGGCGGGTTGAAGAGATCACTGATTTAGGGTCACCACGTTTTTTAGGGGTGCCCCCTAAACTGAGATATCAAGCTGGAATTCAGCTTCATGCTCAAGCCAGGAGAGAACCCCGAGATGTCCTGCTCCACGGCGTGGGATGTCCAGCCTGGTGGGACATCCTGAAATCCCACCATGGTCAAGTGCTCGCCATCAACCAGCTCCAAACCTTTCCCACCACAGGCTGCTGAGGGTTCTGCCCTGGGGGTGGGTGGGGGTGGACAGCTAAAGGATGGTCTGCAATCCTCTGGACACTTCAGTCTCTCTTTTCAAGGAGCTGAAGCTCAGCTTTGTGGGACCTCGGGGGTTTCCCCCCAGTTCCTGCCCTGGAGCTGGCCCTGCTTTCCCTCACCCGATGCTCCACGAGTTGTGGCAGCAGAGGATGAGGAACCCAAGCCAGTGATCCAGGACTCCATCTGTGCCTGCAGAGGGATCCTGAGGAGCCCTGGGCATGAGCTGGAGATGTCCAAGTGGATGTAACACTGAGCAAGAGGCTTTTGCCTGTGGCAGGTTGACAGAGTGCAGGCAGAGGAGGAGGATCCGCTGGCACAGTCAATTTGAGACCCAAATGGGCAATTTCACCCTATTTGATTCCTTTGAAAAAGAAATTGGTTTTGGCTGCCTCATGTCTTCCTAACAGGGAAGGCTGCAATTTCCACAGGCTCTGGAGAAAGGTGGGGCTGCTGAGGAGAGGTAATGGCCGTTATTAGCCTAAATTGATGCAACTGGAGAAACCAGACACAAGGCAGGCTCTGCCTCCAGCCCATGAGCCCCAGGTGCCCCCAGCGCTCGCCTGCTTCCTCCAGCTGCACCAATTTGTCCAGTCACTGCCATTCCTGCTTCCTCCAAGCATCCCCCTCCTCCTCCCCGGGCTGTCTGACTGCCTGGCAATGACGGTGGGAAGGGGGACAGCAAGGAAAAGTGGTGGCTCAGGGATGTGGCGCGGGGCTGAGGGGGGATTCAGGGAGCAGGAGGACCCATCAGTCATGGTTCAGCTGCAGGTGGTGTGGTCCAGAGGTTCCTGGATGGTGGTTCCTGCAGGATGTGATGGGAGCTGGAGCTCAGCCACGCCTCTGGGGGGTATGCTGCTCCATCCAGATGAGAGCTGAAACCCCCAAATCTCTGCCTCTTGTAGGCTGTGGGTCCTTTCTCGGTGCCTGCACAGCCTCTGTCCCTGCTTGGGGAACTGTGAAAGAAAGGGGATCGTTTTTTCATCTTCTCCTAAAAAAAAAAATAACACAACCCCATCCAATCCTTTTTGGCTCTGCTATGGAAATCTGGGCAGTGCTGTTGCTCATCCTTCTCCTGATGGGCAGGGAAGGGAGAGCCCTTGGCACTGCCTGTTATTCCATCCTAATTGCTTTAGCACTGCGAGAAGCAACTCGAGTCCCCACAAATTGCTCCCTTAATGAGGTTCTTCTCAGGCTTAATATCTTCATCAGTTCACTGTCACCCTGATGGACAGTGGGCATGGGGAATTTGGCATTGGCACATGGTACAGGGTGAGCTTCAGGTGTGGCCTGGCTGCATTCCCAGGATCACACCCATGTCCGGGGCTGCCCTGGCTGCAGTCAGAGGTCTCTAAATAACAGATTAATGACATTAATGATAGAAAGTTCTTCTCTGGGAGCAGTCCCAGATTGAAGGACTCCAGGTGTGGAGCTGGAGCTCTTTAATTACAGTCTCTGAAGCGGCATCGTTTTCTCTTCCCAGCTCTGGTTGTTTTTTTGGACACAGCTCAGAGAGGGATGGACTGAAGTCCCATGATCTGGCAGAGGAAACAGCCTCAGGTCATGCCAGGAGAGGTTTAAGTTGGATATTAGGAAACATTTCTTCACTGAAAAGGTTGTCCAGCCCTGGCACAGCTGCCCAGGGCAAGGGTGGAGTCCCCATCCCTGCAGGGATTTAAAGCCATGTGGATGTGGCACTCGGGGACATGGGGCAGTGGTGACCTTGGCAGTGCTGGGGGATGGTTGGACTCCACAATCTCAGAGAGCTTTTCCAACCTGAATGATTCCACGGTCCTACAATCACCCCCTGGCACAGTCCCCTTATGCCACAGGAGCGTTTCCCCTCTTGCCATGGGTTATGGTGCCACCTTGGCCAGGAGGTGAAGCACATGGACATTGCAGTCCTGGTGTCCCGGGCTCTGCAGAGAGCCACGTTTGGGAGGGTGAGAGCCCTCGTTGGGTGGCCTTGGTTGAGGTGGGAGCAGCAGCAAGAGCAGCTCTGCCCGGGTTGCCTCTTGTCCCGATCCTCTCCTTACGCCGCTTGGCGAGTCCCAGTTCCCCCATCCCGCTTCTCCGGGACGACCAAAGTCTTTGCAGTCATTGTGGGCACAACCCCCGGGGCGTCACCCAGCGGTGCCACCGCTCTGCTCAGAACTCCGTGGTGGTGACCTGGGTGACCTCCGAGCGCAGGTCGTCCCCTCCGCGTCCCCGGCAGCCCCGCTGGGGGCTGCCCACGCCTAGTCATGCCGGCTTGCTGGGGGCTTCCGAGGGCGTGCAGGTGGACACCCGCTCCCTCGTGGTGTTCCGGGCGCGGGAGAAGCTGTTCTGGTCCACGCGGGCTCGGAAGGGCAGGCAGAACTCCCGGAAGCACCGCTTGAAGTTCTCGTCCAGGAAGGCGTAGAGGACGGGGTTGAGGCTGCTGTTGGTGTAGCCCAGGGCGATGCAGAAGTGCAGGCTGGCCACCACGTAGGGGTTCTTCTTGTCGATGTCCACCAGCGTCCAGACGATGACGAAGATGTGGATGGGGGTCCAGCAGATGATGAAGGCGGCCACCACCACCAGCACCATGCGCGTGATGCGCCGCAGGTTCCGGTCCTTCTCCTTGGAGCCCGAGAGGAGGCGGACGCTCTTCAGGCGCAGGATCATCAGCCCATAGCAGATGGTGATGACCAGGATGGGCACCAGGAAGGCGAAGATGAAGACGCAGATCTTGGTGACGGTGTCCCAGTAGATGGGAGGGTCGGGGAACTGCAGGGTGCACAGCACCATCCCATCTGTGGGGGAGAGGAGGGTCAGGGAGGGAGCTGGGGGAGGCTCTGCTCTGGATACTCGGCCTTCTGGTCGTGGCTGGGCACGTTGAAACCTCAAGGAGATGCATTCCCACCTGCCAGCTCTTGGCAGAGGCTCCCCAGAGCCACCAGCCCACAGGGTGCTGAGGGGATGCAGGGGGTGCAGTGACCTCTTCCCTGCAGAGCCTCCTGGGCCATCCCCACGCTGCATCCTCCCAACCCCTGTGGTGGACACATCCCCATGTCACCTTCTACTGAGACCTGTCCCCTTCCTCGGGATGCCCAGAGCTTTCCCAGCAGCCAAGGGCTGCTGTCCCCACACTGGAACTGCAGATCTCAGTGTGGGCCAGCTGGGGACTTCACAGCACTACCGGGGGTGTTTTTAGGAACCTGATTTCAGATATTCACAGAATATTCTGAGTTGGAAGGGATCCACGAAGATCATCAAGTCCAACTCTTAAGGGAATGACCAGCATGGGAGTTGAACCCTTGGTTCAGTGGTTGGCATTATTAGCACCATGCTCTAACCAGTTTGCACCCCAGGAGCGGGGCAGAGGCACTGGTGGGACTGGAGATGGGGAAGGGTGTGGTGTCCCAGCCTTAAGGGGAAGGGAAGGCAATTTCTGGGATGGTTTCCAAGATGGAAAACTAACACCATGCTGCCTTTTCCACAACATGGCACATTTATGGTCCCACAGAGAGGTACCCACACTGACCCCAAACCTGCTACAGGGCTGGGTGTCAAGTTCACCAGATCACCCCTGGGATGCACAGATGGGACAGGAGGGAACGTGTCCCCAAAAAGCCACTTGCCTTTTGTCTTGGTGACCGCCATGACCATGATGGGCACCCCGATGAGGGAGGAGAGCACCCAGATGCAGACGTTGATGATCTTGGCCTTGGCCGGCGTGCGGAAGTCCAGGGCCTTGACCGGGTGGCACACGGCGATGTAGCGGTCCACGCTCATCATGGTGAGGGTGAAGATGCTGGTGAACATGTTGTAGTAGTCAATGGAGAGCACAACCTTGCAGAGCAGCTCCCCGAAGGGCCAGGTCTCCATGAGGTACTTGGCGCTCTGGAAGGGCAGCGTGCTGGTGGCCACCGCGTCGGCCAGCGCCAGGTTGAAGATGTAGATGTTGGTGGCTGTCTTCATCTTGGTGTACCTGGGGAAGGGAGAGGCCACAGGGGGTCAGGGCGCTCGACACGGTGAGGAGGGGGCACAGGGACATGTCGTGATGGGACCTTTCTGCAGCATCGGGGTGCTCAGAGCCCTTCCAGGTGCCCCAGGGAGCACGTTGAGGAAGGACATTGAGCTGTTGGAGTGAGTCCAGGGGAGACCACGGAGCTGATCAGAGGGATGGAGCAGCTCTGCTGTGAGGAAACACTGAGAGAATTGGGATTGTTCAGCCTGGAGAAGAGAAGGCTCCAGGGTGTTCTAATTGTGGCCTTTCAGTGCCTGAATGAGCTGACAGGAAAGATGGAGAGGGACTATTTACAGGAGAGAGACTATTTACAAGGGCCTGGAGTGACAGGACAAGGGGAAATGGCTTTCCACTGCCAGAGGGCAGGGTTAAATGGGATATTAGGGATAAATTCTTCCCTGTGAGAGTGGGAAGGCCCTGGCACAGGTTGCCCAGAGAAGCTGTGGCTGCCCCATCCCTGCAAGTGTTCAAGGCCAGGTTGGACAGGACTTGGAGCAACCTGGGCTAGTGGAAGGTGTCCCTGCCCATGGCAGGGGGTGGAATGAGATGAACTTTAAGGTCCCTTCCAATCCAAACCATTCCGGGATTCTATGATTCTACACTTGTGTTCTTGCAGGCGTTTAGTGTGTGTTAAAGTCATAAAATCACAGAATCCCAGAATGGTTTGGGTTGGAAGGGACCTTAAAGCTCATGCAGTTCCACCCCCTGTCACGGGCAGGGATGGCACCCACTGAATCCTGGTGCCTGAGCAGGGGTGACACTCCCACGTACTGAGCTGGGACCTGCAGAACATGGGGCTGGGACCCTGCAGAACATGGGGCTGGGACCCTGGTCATCCCATGTCCAGGGAGGTGGCACTCAATCCACGCCTGCCTTTATTCAAAGGAATAAAGGAATAAAGAACTCCTCCACCTGATTTTCCACCCAGTAACCCGTGATTATCCAGCCTGCCTCCCTGCAGAAATCGGATCGATTACCCCCGGAAACAGGCCATCTGGAAGCAGCCCAATTAGCCAGCCTGGAGCTCCAGAACCTTTGGGGAAGCCTGGCTGATTCTCCTGGGGCATTTGGCAAGGGCTGGCTCTGGTCCTTGTCACATCACGGCAAGAGAAACGCCTGGTCCTGCGTGCCCAAACCGTTCCTGAAGGGATGAGGCGAAGTTTTGGTGGATGCCAGGGCAGCAGGGATGTGTGTGTGTGCATCCTGGGAGCATCCAGCCCCGCAGGAGTTGCTCAAGAGGATGCTCTGAGTGTTGTGGTGGGTTGGAAGTGAATGCCGAGGGGTCTGCTGGGGGTCCCCAAAGAGCAACACATCGGGTGGGGGCAGCTCTGTGGCTCTTTACTGGGTTAAGGGCAGGGCTACACCAGCGGCTCCAGCCCTTCCCTGTGCTCCCTTCCAGCAAATCCTTGTAGCTCTGAGCATCCTCGGCAGCCTCGAGCTCGTTTGGATGCACCCTAATTAATTAAGAACGGGGTTTGCACACAAGCATCTCTGTGCACGGCTAAACCTGCCCGTGGCATCGCTGGGGTGGGTCAGGGAGCGGGGAGAGAAACCCTTGGCTGCTGGATGAAAAGGTGGGTTTCCTTGGAGTTCTTATAAAATAGATGGAGAGGGACTTTTTATATGAGCAGACAGGGGCAAGACAGTTTTAGACTGGCAGAGGGCACATTTGGATCAGGTATTAGGGAGAAATTCTTCCCTGTGAGGGGGGGAAGGCCCCAGCACAGGTTGCCCAGAGAAGCTGTGGCTGCCCCAAGTGTCCAAGGCCAGGTTGGATGGGGTTTGGAGCAACCTGGGCTAGTGGGAGGTGTTCCCTGACCACGGCAGGGGAGTGGAACAAGATGGACTTTAAGGTCCCTTCCTGCCCCCAGGACAGCAGGTAGGTGTAGGAAAGCTTTGGGGTGACCTAACTGTGGCCTTCCAGTCCCTGAAGGGAACCTGCAAGAGAGATGGAAATCAGACTGGGATTGGTGGTGCTGCCCAACCCCTTCCATTTGTCTTTTCTGCCTCTCAGCAGGTCAGGAGAGCGTGTCAGTGGGGACCAGGAGCTGGAGGCTGCAAAACCCGTTTCTGCCTGGGAAAAAAATAGAAAACAGCAGCTCATCCCAGCTCCAGCAGCGTTCCTTGTCTCCTTCACCACGGCTGCAAATGGCAGCCCCTTGCCCAAGGGTGGAAATATTCGAGTTGAGCTTTCGTTTTTTTGCTTTTTATTTATTTATTTATTTATTTATTTATTTTAAATACGGCATTAAAAATGTCTTGCCCTTGAAAAGTCCTTTTCAGTTCTCTTTAGCGTTATTTTCCAGGCGCTTTTGCAAATGCATCTCTTGGAAAAGTTTCCTTCCAGGTTAAACAAAAAAAAAAAAAAAGCTGAGAATTTGTGGCATTGTCAGGTTTTGCCTCTCCTGCAAACAGACGGTCGGTTCGGGTACATTCACACGTCCTTGGGCTCTGGGTTTTTGAGTAAAGTGGGGCAAAAAAAAAATCAGTTATTCATTCTGTGCTCTGCCAGATGTGCTGGGTAAGCACCTCCCAACCCCTGCCAGATGTGCCAGGGGTGGGGGAGAGGAGGGTCTGAGGCTGTTGCCCCCTCCCCAGGCAGGATGGGGCTGGTGAGGGCAAAGCAGTGACAACTGGGATGATGGAGATAAGTGGGATGATGATGGGGAGGAGTGGGATGATGGGGATAACTGGGATGGTGATGGGGGTAACTGGGATGAGGAGTTGACTGGGATGATGGGGATAACTGGGATGATGGGTTGACTGGGATGGTGATGGGGATAATTGAGGAGTTGACTGGGATGATGGGGATAACTGGGATGATGGGGATAACTGGGATGGTGATGGGGATAATTGAGATGAGTTGACTGGGATGATGAGGTTGACTGAGGTGGTGATGGGGATAACTGGGATGATGGGGATGACAATTTATCCCTCAGCACCAGGGTTTTGGGGCAGGATTCAGCCCCTTCCAGGCTTGGGCTGAGGTTCCAACCCACTGCCCAGGGTGGGGGGTCCATCCTGGTGACCCCCCCTGAGCTGCAAACGAAGCTGCTGCTGCAGAGAAGAGGTTTATTGCCCCCATTAGAGAGAACCATCCTCTGCTGCTGATGGAGCTCCCCAGGCTGCCAAACCCTTCGTAATTAAGCGAGTGCCTTGATTGGGAAGTTACCACGCACTTGAACGGAACAATCTGGGAGGTGTTGATGGAGAGGAGGGGAGGGAGGGGATGGAACAAGCACAGGGCAGCTCTGCTTTCCAGGCTGGACTCCCAAGTAGGGACCCCCCCTCTCCAAACCCCTCGGAAAATAAATAAGCAAAAGAAAAAAGTGAATAACAAGCGAAAGAAAAAACTCCTGGAGCTGCTAAAAAGCCACCGCCTGGCAGAGCCTGGCTTAACAAAGCCTGCGCCCGGCTGTCCCTGCAGCCTGTGTGGGAGCTGGCAGGGGGCTGATGGGCTCGAGAGGGATGGGGGGCACTCACAGGCCCGAGCTCGCAGCTGCAAATTGCTTCCAAGGGCGTTTTTAAAAGCAGTGGGAATGGCAATGCTGGCCAGAGCTGTGGTGGGGAGGGTGCTGGGTGTGCTGGGCTCCCTCCCAGTGCGTGGATGGGTTTGGCTGCTCCGGACAGGGGTTTATTTGGGGTTTGGCTGAGCTTGGCTCGCTGGGTGTCCGTTCGTGGAGCTCAGCCGGGAGCTGTGGAGCAGGTCCTGTGTCCGCCTGCTCCTGGCACTCAGCGTGGTCCCCGGGGGTCCCTGAGCCAGCAGGATGTGCTCCAGCCGTGCTCCCAGACTGCCCAGGTACCCTGCCCAGACAGCGGGAGGTGGCACAAGGCAAACTCCAACATCTCCCTGGCACTGAGGTCTGAACCCGAGCTGATCCCATCTCACAGCCCCGTCCTGCAGACACGGGTCATCCCCAGTCCTGGCCTAAACCCTGCTGGTGTGGAACAACTCTGCCAAGGAACCCTGGGAGGCTCCTGGCAGGTTTGGCCATGGAAAGGGCGAGGGCACGTCACCACAGCCACTCCTGACCCAGGAGCTCGGAGGACAGTGTTTATTCATTCCTTGGGAGATATTCCCTATCCCTGGAAGTGTTCAAAGCCAAGCTGGACAGGGCCTGGAGCAACCTGGGATAGTGGAAGGTGTCCCTGCCAGTGGCATGGGGTGGAATGAATGGTCTTAAAGTCTCTTCCAACCCAAACTATTCCATAATTCTATGATTCTGTGTTTAATTCCAGAATCAGGTGGAAAAAGGGGGGCTAGAAGCCACGGTGGTGGGATCTGTGGATCAGTAGAATCAGGTTACTCGGTGAGTAAAACAGGGAAGATGTCGTTTGCACATGACATTGTTCTCTTTAAAACGCCCTCCCCTCTCCCTGCCGAGCAGAACCAGCTGGAGGGGGTCTAATAACACCCATCCCTCACCCTGACACCGCTCGTGGCTCTGGCTCTGCTGCAATTACCTCAGTTTGCTTTTTCAGACCAGGGCTCATTTTTAACTCCGCTTCGAGCGGGTGAAAAATCCTGTCGGGTGTCAGGTCAGGTCAGGGAGTGACACCCCAACCCCTGTCCCCCTCACCCACCCCGCAGGATGGTTGAAAGCACAACCCAAAGAGTGGGGAGCTGGGGTGGCGAGGGTGATCTCACGAGGGTGATGGTCAGCCCAGAGTGGCTCACGGACACGTTTCAGGCTCATTTCCTCCCCTCCGGTGAGTCACCACATTTATCCCCGTGCACAGGCAGTGCCGGGCTGTGCTGACCTCCTGTAACCATCCCTGTGGACTGAAAGGGATGGGAAAAGGGGCGTGGAAATGGTTAAAAAGTGGGGATTTGGCAGGGTTGCTTAGATCAAGCCACCAGCTCTGGTTTGGCCCCGGGGTTTTGGCCAGGCTGGGGTTACAACAACCCCTGAGGTGATTGGGATTAATCCCACAAATCCTGGATGCCCAGGAAAAGA